GATTGTGATTTTATAAGACGCGCGCGTATTATTATGTACCGCATACATGTGGGTAAACGATTAGTGACGGCGGACGCGTATGCTGGTACAGGACTGAATGCGACGACGGTCGAGGTTAAAACAATGGAGGACGCGCGAGGACCCGGTGGAAGTGAAAACGCGACGAACAAACATACGAACGGGTTAAAAACAATAAAAGATTAAACGCGACTCGCGGTGCCACGTTACCGCGGTACTCGCGCACACTCGTTGTGTACTTCGTAAACACTCACGTACCCGCGATCTATGCCGTAAGCTCTTAACACCAATAGTGCTATAACGTTTCGGGCGGATCGCCGATGACGCATCGATACAAACAACGATGGTGTTATGTGTATTATGACGTGTTTCGCGTCGTCAAATCATCGTGGTGCACGTACAAGTCGTCGAGTTCGTCACGCGCGCACGCCTTTTTTTTACAGCCTCGGGTTGGGTCGCCCCGAGTTACGATACGTACGCGCGCGCGTATCGTTACAGTCGTCGTAAACCGGAGCAAATTTTCCCGTTTCGTTTATATATATTTTTTTATTTTTTTTTTTCAATTTCATGCACGTGTAGTGCGCCTCGTGCGCACGCGCGGTCCGACTTCGGAAAAGCTCGCGCCAAGCCCCGGATCCACATATTACAATACGCGTATAAATAGGTATAAAAAAAAAAAAAAAAAAAATAATAAATAAAATAATAAAACAGGTGGGTAAACTATAAATTATTACTGGTACGCGCACGTATATACGCGTATTTACGAACAGTTCGAGCGCGTGTAATCGTCGTTTTGCTTTCGACGGCGGCGGACCGCAGTTCCTGTGACAGACAGCTGCTGCTGCTGCTGCTCCTCCTCGTCCCGCACCAATCGTCGCCCGTATGCGCGCTGCACCTACGGCACCGCGGCCACCGACGACGGCCGTGCACGGTTTTTACTGTTTTCCGGTGCGCGACAACGGCCGCGGCGGCCGCAACAACAACAACAGCAGCAGCTGCGCGCACCGCGGACGACGTGCGCTGCACACACGACGACGACGAGGCCGCGGCGAAAACACCGACCGAGTTCAATAGGGTACAGACACCGCAGTCATCGGCTATTTTTAATGTATTGCCCCGGCCACCACCACCGCCGCCGCCGACGATTCATCACCACACCGCTGACGCGCGTGCACATTATGTAAAAACGGCCCGCAGCTGTGTCGCAGCGCATGGAACGTACGATTTGGGATCACCAACACCGCTAAGACCCCGCTGCGTTAACCCTGTTCGTTTCCGCGGGACTTGGACAATGCAGTAACGCGTCGACGTGGTTCCCAAAAAAAAAAAAAAACACGTTTTCCCCCCTGGCGGCGGCCGGTCTACCCATACCGGTTTAATTCCTTTTTTTTCCCATACGGCTCCACGTATGATAAGCGATTAAGGCGGGGGTTCAAAGCCGACAAAGAAGGGGGTCCCCCCCCCCCCCCCCGTAATGCATATCGAGATCGCCCGCGGGTCCGCTACAGCGTTCGAACACCGCGCGTTTATCTCGCGGACGAACGCGGTTCGCACTTAAACGGACGAGCGTCGGCTGAATCTTAGCACGTTGAGCAATAAACGTTGTGCTTTACCGGTGTACCGTCCACGTTACTGGTCCGCTATAGCTGCCAACTACGTGCACACGCCATTTTACATCCGACAACTTCGGCACCGGACATCACCGCCTCCGGCGGCCACCGCAATCGTCCTGACCGATAGTACCACTGCGATTACTATTAGGTTTTATTTACGCGTCGAATCGTGTTCATTATAATGTTATGCGAACGCGCATGGTAGCGACGTACGACCAAGACGACGGCGGTGGGCCACCACCGTTTTATTATTACGTACGTCGGTCATTATACCTGCACGGTGGTCGCACCGCTCACGTAGTGTTATTACCGATATTATTACGTACAATCGAACGGCCGCTGCTGGCTCGTCCGTGCCCTTGTGCTCATTTTTTCCCGATACGGGGAGTGCCCTTCGGCTCTAATGAAATAGCATGAAAACCCGACCTACGTCCGTTGTCTAGGCCGGTCGTTAAAAGTACGGAGGACTGCACCCAAAATTTCGATCGTATAAAGTGTGTATATATATATATATATACAGTGTATACATTGTTATTATGTCGTCGCCGTTGTTGCGTACGATAAACGGTCGGTCGCTTTTCCCGTCGAAATCCGAATCCCGGTGACCCCGACCGGGGCTAGGAATTTTCCGTAACGCACGAAAACCCGAAGGCGGTTGACGGCGATGCCAAAAGCGAACGATATTACCGCCGTCACCGCCGGCCGCCGACATTGCGATCGGTACACCGTTTTTTTTTTTTTTAACTTCCTTTTTTTAAATATAAATCTCCCCCTCGCTACCGCTGCTGCTACCCAACTATACTCGTTATAGAGCGTTACTATTATACTATATAACGTGGAATCATTATTACTATTATTATTATTATTAGTTACTAGTTCGTGTGCGCGCGCGCGTGTCTATTTATAGCACCGTCCCGGTCTGCACGGAACGACGGGGCCGACCAACGCGAGTCGACCACCGCGCGATATCGTCATTATATCGTGTAATTATGTCTTCTATAATAATAATGCGCCGTCCGGTAGTCCTATTGACCGCCGTCGCCTCCGCGTGTATACCGGTATTACGCGCAACCGATTACTTATAAAGAACGACGGCGGTTCAGGCAGCGCGATTGTAAACCGCCCGTGCCAACGCCGCATGCGATCCGTGAAAATCTCTACGGTCTCGCGGTTGTCCTCGAGGGTCGGGAGAAGGGACTGCACTTTCCTGTACGCCGGGCCCCAGGCGAGACGGATCTAATGACATTTTTTCCGCCCACGTAAAATATTTCTTAAAATATTTGTTGTACACACAACTCACGATACGAGTGCGTGTAGAATTAAATGCGCTCCATAAATTCGATTCAATTTTCCATTTACAAAATCGTAGTAAATAATAACATAACGTTACGAAAAAGCAAAACGTACATATATAATTGAGTATAATTATTTTATACAGTCGCTATTTTTCAGTCAACGCTCTCTCAGGCTCACCAATCGTTACAATGAGTACGTGTTTTTTTTTTCTCTTGGCGTTTTTATCGACCGAGTTGATGATAATTGTTATTATCTAACGACTGGACAATAATTGTTATTACTCGTTACAATATTGTGCAAGCGTTTCCAAGTCCATGTCAAAGAAAACACGCGACAATTATCTGACGCCTCTCTCGCGCGCCCGTAAGAACAAAATTAATGCGTGTTCGTCGAATGACTTTAATGATAATTATTATTATTATTATTATTTTTTTTTTTTTATTACAATACGACTAGGTCCCACATTCCCGCCGTCATTTTCCGCACATCCTGCGCGTTATTCAACAATAACTCTCTCTCACACACACACACACATACACACACAACCAGAACGACGTTATATTGTTATTATTAGATAGGCATCACCGAGAGGAAAGAATCTGCGGGTCGCTTTGGGGTCTTCGTGGCACTGTTGAAAAATTAGGGGAGACCCGACCCTAGAGACCGACCCCCTCGTATTAATAACTCGACCAGTTTTGACGAGCATTTAGTTTTTTCTAGCTGATTATCTGTACACGCATCCACATTATGTTTGTACACTAATGTATATATTATACACGCGGAAAATATTCACCCCCTTCCGCCACATAGTACCGCAACTCGACAACCCACCACCACGCAAACGAGGAAAAAAAAACGTATTAGTCATCTACTACGTACGCTAACTGCTATCGCCGCTGTTCGCGTTACTCTTGTTGCCGAAGCGTACATAAACTCTTGACATTTCATACCCGGGTGGTGTGCGCCCTTCGACGTCGTGCACACATATAAATGTATACTGTAATAAAAATAAAAATTCTACGACGGCGAAGGGGTGTCGGCTAATAGTAGTAGTGTGAGAGTTCGTGTGTGTGTGAGCGACTGTCGAACGGAAGAAAGGGCGCGGCGACGGCGGCGACGCGCGGAAGGGATTGTGTGCGTGTGTCTGTGTGTGAAAGGGGCTGCAGGGGGGCGACGCTGCTGTTGGGTCGACGGTTATATTAATATATTGAATATATATATATATATATATATATATATATGTGTGTGTAAAAGTAGAGAAGTATAACGAAACTAAAGGGCGTCGTCTACGTCCAAGTGGCTTTACGAGAACAACCGCTGAGCGATTGATTGGGTGTGCACTGCCGTTGTCGTCGTCGCCGTAGCGATTGAATTACAAAAACAATTACTATTGAAAACCACGGCACGCAGACAGAAGATGATAATAATAATAAGAAAAATATCTGAAAAATATGACGTGTTATCTAAAACAATACTGTTTTAAACGGTCCCGAGAGAAGCACCTACGCGCATACCATCATGTACCATACAACGACAAACAACAGCAATAGCAGCAGCAGCAGCAGCAGCAGCAGGTGTGCGTGTTGGGTAATAAAATAATAGACGATCGTAACATGTTACGAATATATACATAAAAAATTACTACTAGTATTGTTACCGTCGTCACTTCGACTACCGATCGGAGTTGTGCGGTGACGATAACGATTGTTACACATTTTACGTACACACCGCGCACAACATCGCTCGAACGTGTATTTATATATACGTATGTATACGCTGTAGTGTACCCACACCGACGAAGATTATCGCGCGTCCTATAATTATAATATTTGTGTTATTATTTATGAGACTACGGGTGAAGATAGAAAAAAAAAAATCGAAAAAAAAAGAAAAAACGTAAGCCGCCTCGAGACGCGATGATCGGTCCCGTATCGTATGCTCGCGGACATTTAACCCGATATGAAATGTATACACGTGTATACAGGTGCACAGGACAACGGAACGCGTATGTAACGAAGCTCGTCCGCAGGGAGGCGTTTCACAAGAGTGTGCCGTGCCTACGCAGGTACTCACCGAATCTGATCACGTTAGCCACTACAACTGCGGACACCAGCCAAAACACCGCTGTCCTCTTGAAGCTGCCACTGGTCGCAGACGGGCCGCGGCGGGTGGCCGACGAAACGGTTGCCGGTCTGCAAGTCATCTCTCCGGAATCGAAAGTGCACTCTGCCCACGTGGGTCCGCGGTGATCTAAACGGTAACAAAAACGTCGAATTGTAATAAGCGTAAGGCGGTTCCCGGGTACAATGCAGTTAAAAGGCTAGTGATCCCTCCCCCAGATGCTTTCTACAACCACTGCTTGTGCGTACGGCTTGGAGTACGTGCACGCGAGCGGGCTCGGTCCGACGAACGTTCCGAGATCGCGGGCGGTCCGTCGTCTCCGGAGAGCTGCCGCGGCGGGTTATACGCGGGGCGATGCACGCGAAGACAGACGGGACGGCTCCGTCGGGGAGGCCGCGGGTGTGTTTCGTGCTCGCGCGGCGGTTCGCGTACGTACGCGTTACGCGTATACTCACCGAAGACTGTGTTGACGGACGGGCAGGTGTTGTGTGCGCGGCTGCGACGGCTGCCGGGACACCTTGTGAACACAATGCCGGCGACGAGGATCTCCGTGTATTGTTGACGGCAAACGGTGGTGCGGCGACGTTCCGATTGGCCTGTACGTGATGGTCGACGAACGAACGACCTGTGCAAGGTCGCGACCACGCGTACTGAACGGGCCCGCGAATCGCTCCGGCCCGGAACCGAAAACACGACCGCAGCGGCGACGATGAGCAACACCACTCTGGTGCACGCACGCGAAAAACCGCAACGGGTACGTCGACCGCGTACGAGTTAGTGGCGTTGTCGGTGTGCCGTGAACGCGGGGGCCGGGAAAAATTAATGAAAATTTGGCCGGCAAAAGGAGGGGGGTAGGGGAAAAGCCACGAAAGGTTTCCGCGAGAAAGAGGGGGAGAGAGAGAGAGAGAGAGAGAGAGCGAGTGAGAGAGAGTGTGCGTGAGAGAGAGAGAGAGAGTGTGAGACGGAGAAGAAAAACGTGTGCGAAACGAACCGCGTGTGCGCGCGTGACACCGGTACTGTTACAACACCACTACGTGCGCGTGTTGTTACGAGTATGTGAATGTACGTGGAACGGACTTTCGGGTAGGAGAAGACAGGCGATGACGACGACCGGCTGCGAGTGAATGACTGCGTCGAGTGTACGGAACCGGCCGCGCGGCGATGTGCGTGGCCGTGCGCGTGTTTAGCAGCAGCAGCAGCAGCAGCAGCAGCACTCTATGGACAAAAAACCGTACGATAATAATTTCGAAATGCGCGCGCGCGC